TGAGAACATGCAGTGTTTGATTTTCTGTTCATGTGTCAGTTTGCTGAGAATGATGGTTTCCAGATTCATCCATGTCCCTACAAAGGACATGAACTCATCGTTTTTTATGGCTGCATAGTATGCCATGGTGTATATGTGCCACATTTTTTTCCCAGTTCTGTGAAGAAGGTCATTGGTAGCTTGATGGGGATAGCATTGAATCTATAAATTACTTTGGGCAGTATGGCCATTTTCAGGATATTCATTCTTCCTAACCATGAGCATGGAATGTTTCTCCATTTGTTTGTGTCCTCTTATTTCCTTGAGCAGTGATTTGTTGTTCTCTTTGAAAAGGTCCTTTACATCCTTTGTTAGTTGTATTACTAGGTATTTTATTCTTTTTGTAGCAATTGTGAATGGGAGTTTGCTCATGATTTGGCTCTCTGTTAGTCTGTTATTGGTGTATAGAAATGCTTGTGATTTCTGCACGTTGATTTTGTAACCTGAGACTTTGCTGAAGTTGCTTATCAGTTTCAGGAGATTTTGGGCTGAGATGATAGGGTATTCTAAATATACAATCATGTCATCTACAAATAGAAACAATTTGACTTCCTCTTTTCCTAATTGAATACCTTTTATTATTATTATTTTTTTCTTGCCTAATTGCTCTGGCTAGAACTCCCAATACTACATTGAATACAAGTGGTGAGAGAGGGCATCCTTGTCTAGTGCCAGATTTCAAAGGGAATGCTTCCAGTTTTTGCCCATTCAGTATGACATTGGCTGTAGGTTTGCCGTAAATAGCTTTTATTATTTTGAGATATGTTCCTTCGATACCTAGTTTATTGAGAGTGTTTAGCATAAAGGGCTGATGAATTTTGTTGAAGGCCTTCTCTGCATCTACTGAGGTAATCGTGTGGTTTTTGTCTTTGGTTCTGTTTATGTGGTGAATTATATTTATAGACTTGCATATGTCGAACCAGCATTGAATCCCCAGAATGAAGCCTTAAAATTTAATTAATTTAGAAATTATAGAAATATGAGCGTTTAGGAAGGAAAATGTAAAATATTTGAAGTGAGATGTTTGTGGGACATTTTAAAAAAGTCATCTAGAAGGTGTATGACTATATTGGTCTAAAGTTCAAGACCAAATTCTGAACTAGAGATATAACAATAATTTGAGAAACATTTACATGGTAGTTAAAATGTAATGTGAGACACACGTAGCCTTAGAAGTA